TTTCTAAAGAACACAAGTCCAAACAGCAAAATTACGATAAATAGTTTTTTTTATGAACAAAAAAAAACTTTTTAGTAAATTTTTCTCACGGATATAAACTTTACGAGGAGGCACGAGTACCTAACCTAACGTCTGTTAGGTAAGGTAACTGTCTAGTTAACAATTTTTTCAGTCTTTAAATCAGTCAGAGTTAAACATACATAATAAATATAATATCATACTCGTTGGTGAACATTATTACTTAGTTTCGATTGAGATCATTACTTGCAAATCAAATCAGNTAGTTATGCACTTATTAATACACTTTCTATTTCTTTTCTTAATTTCCCAAGAAGCAGTGATGAGTAATGAAAAAATCGGCTTATTTTAACAGTATAATTTCATAAAATAAAAGGAGTCAAATCCAGCTGATTACTGTATGAGACCAATAAATCCTGCTGACCTAAGGTTTTTATTGAAGACGTCAGCTTAGCATGGATTTCAATAATTTTAATGGTGCCTAAGTTTTTTGCGGAGCTGCTTCTTCTCAGCACTGGCTCATTTATTGTCCCGAAGCAGTGGTAGAATCGATCGAATCAGAAATGAGGAGATCCGTAGGAGAACCAGAGTGACTGACATAGCCCGCAGAATCGTTAAAATCAAGTGGCAGTGGGCGGGGCACATAGCTCGAAGGGCTGATGGCCGCTGGGGCAGGAAAGTTCTTGAGTGGCGACCACGAGCCGGAAGACGTAGCGTGGGCAGGCCTCCCACTAGGTGGACCGACGATCTGGTGAAGGTCGCGGGAGGTGCCTGGATGCGGCGCGGACCGGTCTTTGTGGAAATCCTTGGGGGAGGCCTTTGTCCAGCAGTCTTGGGGGAGGACGTCTTTCGGCTGAAACGAAATCGCGCGTACCACGATTGAAACATGCTTTGTGGATTTAAACACGATTAACGTCTGTAATAAANACTTTTCCTTGTCTTGGCCCCGACTTCCGTAGCCGGGGCCCCCGGCCCCCCTCCGTTGGGGGGTTACGGGTTGCCCGACAGGCCCGCCGAGTTGACGCAACCTGCCGCGCCGGTGAGGAGTCAGCCGCCCGCGTGACAGAACACGCGGACGTTGCCCGGGATGCACCACGGGGAGGTCCCTCACCATCGCACCCCTGAGTTGCACCACCTTATATTAACCGTAACAATGACAATAACCGATGCTTTTTGTATGGAGTTTGACAGATTTTTGACGTTTGTCAAAGTTAAAATAAGATGGTGCAACTCAGCCTTAATTGCCTAGCCAGAAGAGCATGGTAATTAAAGAGCCAGCAAAAATTGAAAAAATATTTTAATTTTTGCGTAAGCATCCGAAAAAGTATATTTGTGTTCGGTTGCTTCGAACCAAAGGCGCAAATCCTAAAAGCTTAAATATTATGTAATCATTAGCAAAGTGACTGGAATCATAGTACGTAGGTAGTATACAATTAATTTATTATTAAGACCTATGCGTCACATATTCAAATTACCTTTGCAGTTTGCGTTAATTAGCTTTACAAATATTACCCTTTTTTAGTTATGATGACGTACCCATTAACGCATACCTAATCATAACAAATTAGCAATGATTAGATAAGATAATTATGCACTTATTAATACACTTTCTATTTATTTTCTTAATTTCCCAAGAAGCAGTGATGAGTAATGAAAAAATCGTCGTATTTTTACAAGCTTTTTATTACTTTCACATGTCTGGTGTCTGTCGTCAAATCTTGCAACTTAAAATTGACCCACTTCCCGGTTTCCTATTGAGCTGAAATTTTGCATACATGTGTAAGTCCGATGACAATGCAATATTATGGTACCATTGAGCTGGTCTGATGATGGAGTCGGGAGGTGGCCATAGGANTCCGGTAAATTTTTTCTCGTCTCGAATGAAGCCAAATTTCTCGAGTTTTCTCGAGTTCGAGAAAGCTCGAGCAGAAACCCTATGTGTACCACATGTTGCAACCAATTGAAGTCCACAGCTGGACCAAGGCCTCCCCCAAGGATTTCCAGAATGACCGGACCTGTGCCGCCCGCATCTAGGTATCTCCTGCGACCCTCACCAGATCGTCGGTCCACCTAGTGAGGGGCCTGCGCACATTACGTCTTCCGGCCCGTGGTCGCCATTCGAGAACTTTTCTGCCTCAGCGGCCGTCAGCTCTGCGAGCTATGTGCCCCGCCCTCTGCCACTGCCAGCAACTGGCCTCTATGAGACCCAAAAGTTTGAGGAACCTTGGTCTAGCCAGACTAGACTTCTGTTATGTCTCTAGCTCTACCTAGTGCAAGTGGGGTGGCAACGAGATGCATCGATTGCATTGTCTCGCTATCAGACTTGCTCGGGATAATCGTGCGATATCTCGAGAAGAACTTTGATTGCTATTTGTCGCGTCATGTTATATTCTTATCGTCTCCATGATTCAGGGGTTAGAGTTAGTCTTCCGTTAGGAGGTTCTGGATTAGATTCCTTGGCACAAAAAGTATAAAATCACTGTGAATTGGTTCCCAATTTTCCCTTGTCCAAGCAATTGGATTTATTTATTTTATCTATATATAGGTACTACATTTAAATAACGGTGTAATCAGCAATTTTATTTGTATCACACTGTTTGATTAGTGGCCAGTCAGGTGTCGTTGTAACGTTTCTTAAGTTCTTATTTTTATTATTATTTTGCGAAAAACCTACAGCGCATAAAAAAGTCGGCGACTCTTTTTAATAAATAATAAATAAATAATAAATAAATATCCTTAGACATTTTACACTGCGCTTCTAGTCCCAAACTAAGCAAAGCTTGTACTATGGGTACTAGACAACGGATATAAACATACTTAAATACTTTTTTTTTGTAAATACATACTTATTATACATAGAAAACACCCAGTCCAATACAAACAAATATGTTCATGCACACAAATGTTTGTACTGTACGGGAATCGAACCCGCTACCTCCGGAATAGTAGTCCGTTTCGAACCACTACACCAAACGGCCGACGTCGTTTTCGTCGCGGAATATTTTTCATCGAGTTTCCCAGTCGATGCTACATCGTAATTTACGCGATAGTATCGATGCAACAACGTTGCTCGCTAATTCCATATCTAATAAACTAAATAAGCGCAATTCTCACGAGTAATTGGACGGGTCGCGTGTCTGCTGGATACTAAATCTGTTGTTAAAGATAAAACATGTTTTTACATTACTTAAATTATGGATGTCGTATCGAGGACGCTCATACAGGGTGTGTAGAAAAAATGAACAGGTATTGACAATAGATAAAACTGAAACTGATGCAATAGAGACAGGTTACGAAGGCAAATTAAGCTCTTGTTGTCTTTTTATAATTGATATAATTCTAATTTTTGACTCGATATTTTTGACTAAAAGGATAGTCATTTGAAGATCAAATGAAAAATTATTGAAAAAAGTTATAAGTAGGTGCATAATTTTTACCTACTTACGGGTAAGCACACACGAGTAACTTTCGGATAAGTAGAGTTAATTAAATAATTCAGAAATGTTTTAGTGGATTTAGCATTTGACATTGTACATTCCAGACTCATGCGAGCCTTCCTATTATTATGCTAATGAGCAATTTCCCCGCCCTTCGTCATCGAAGGCGGGCGGCCGATTGCCGATCAGGCATGCCACAGTGCCTGAAACTGTAGTGACCATGAAATTAGTCGAGATATCTTACGCACTTTAAAATATTTAGTACAATTGAGTACGTATTTGTGGAATACATTTCTTTACTTCTTTTATGTTGTATGAATAACCTATTTGATGTTTGAGTTACAGAGTTGAAATTTTAAAAAACCAGGCATCTATAAAACTTAAGTAATCTGTGGGTCTAGACAAAGTGCAAATTATAATCGCAAACCAGTCGCAAAGTGGTCGAAAAGCCCCTTTTTTGTATGGAGTTTTGACGGATTCGATTTGCGTTTTGTCTAGGGGGCCTGGCGCAGCGCATAAAAAGTTTTTACACTGCACCGCGTTGCGTCGTTATCAATTCTAGAAAGGATATATTTTAGTAGTGTAATTTTTTGTTTTTGTTTTTTAAGGTATTGGAAATAAGAATAAGTAGGTACTTATTAACATTCAAAAGGCTACGCAATTCTTGGTTCTACGAGTATCTCTATCCCAACAAAACCAAAAATCATAGACTCTACAATTACAGCGCAGATGTTATTAACTGTGTGGGCCATGAAAAAGCTCTAGTGGATATCGTGTGCCCAAAACTTTACCTAGCCAGTCCAATGCCTTACAGCCTAGACTGCCGCAGAGACCTAAGTCACGCGGCCCTAAAAAGCTCACACAACGAAATAAGGCATAGAGGTCCCGCTCCTAATTACCCGACTGCGCCAGAAGGAGGTTATGTTTCTTACTTATATTAACCGGCAGACAGTGGTGACTGAGTTTGTTGCGGCGCTTCTTCTCAGCACTTGCCAAATGTTGGTTTCGAAGCGCTGGTAGGGCAAAAAGATTATGAGACATGTAGAGGCTCCTTAAGAGCAAAATGACGATTTGTGAACCGTCGTCGTCGTGACGGTTAAGAAAAAGTCAGGGCTTCGTCGGACTGGTTTATTGTCTTAAAACCAATATATAAAACTTTACAATTTCATGAGAAAATTACCGTCCATTGTTCGTCGTCTGTCAAAAGTCAAGTCCAGAAAAACGTCGTCCCANACCTTAGCGAACCTTACAATATAATAAACGAAATCAACGAAATGCAAATTACACATCATTCAACTTAATCGATGACTTTCTCTAGAAAGGAAACAAATCTGGACACCGCTTGCTAGTGCTAGCGCCATCTAGCGGTGAGCGATACAGGCGAACACCACGGTGCCGGAGTAGTATTATGAATGTGGTTGAACCGTCGTCGTCGTGACGGTTAAGAAAAAGTCAGGGCTTCGTCGGACTGGTTTATTGTCTTAAAACCAATATATAAAACTTTACCATTTCATGAGAAAATTACCGTCGATTGTTCGTCCTCTGTCAAAATGTCAAGTCAAGAAAAAACGTCGTCCCGTTTATCGTCAGCCAGTCCTAGTCTATGTCTTTGACCATGCAGGCTGGACGCCGCGACATCCCCACCTCCAGTATCAGCAAGCTGATACTCAAGATTGGGAGCCGACGTCCAGTCTGCACAGCTTAGTCGCTGGTCGAGTGTAAAGTCCATGTCCTGTCTGTACGTCTGCTACGCGTACCTGGCGATCCTTGCCAGGGTGCACCCTGACCACCCTGCCACGCGGCCATTGGGCCCTTGGTAGTTGGTCGTCAGCGACAATGACAATGTCGCCTACTGCCAAGGGTCGGCTGTCAGCCTTAAACCATTTGTCCCGACGTGTCAAGGTAGGCAGGTACTCCCTGACCCAGCGCTTCCAAGTCAAGTCTGCCAGTCTCTGCGACTCCCGCCAGGAACGCCGTAACATGTCTCCGTCAGTAAATTGTCCAAAGGGTCGGTCGATGAAGTTAGTGTCTGTAAATAAAAAGTCATTAGGAGTAAGAGCAGGTGAGTCATCGCAGCCTAAAGGAATGTATGTTAGCGGCCGGCTATTAACGAAGTACTCCGCTTCCGCCAACAAGGTCAACAACGTCTGCTCACTGGGGACCCTCTCTTTTAAGGTAGTGCGAAGCGCGGTCTTGATGCTTCGCACCAACCTCTCCCAGCAGCCCCCCATGTGAGGAGCATTTGGCGGGATAAACTTCCATTCCATGTTTCTAACTGAACCAAAACGTAGCAGCTCCCCTCGGTCCATCGACATCACAGCCTGCTTGAGCTCTTTGTCAGCCCCTCGAAATGTTGTGGCGTTGTCACTATACATGACCGCCGGACAGCCGCGTCTTGCAATAAAGCGCCGGAGACTGAGAATAGCGGAGCTGGTCGTCAGGTCACTGACCAGGTCAACATACACTGCCCGGACGGTCATGCAAGTGTACAGGACTCCCCACCGTTTCTCGTGTCTGCGGCCTATCTTAATCAGCATAGGACCAAAATAATCAATGCCCGTATGAGTAAACGGTCGGCCAACTCTGTTCACTCTACAATCGGGCAGCTGTCCCATAAGCGGGGCAACAGACTTTGCCCTGTTTATTCGGCATATAAGGCAGTCATAAAACGTCTTCTTCACCGCGTTTCGTCCATTGACGATCCAGAACTGCTTCCTGATTTCCTGGAGTATCCTTTCTCTTCCTGAATGGGCAGAGTCTTCGTGATATCGTTGAAGAAGCAGCTTGGTAAAATAGTCCGAAGGATGCAGAATCACTGGATGTCTGGCATCATAATGAACGTTTGCCGCATCAATCCTTCCCCCAACCCTGAGCAGGTCATGCGAATCAAGAAAGGGATTAAGCTGGCGCAAAGAGCTGGAACTGTCAACATGTCCGTGTCTCTTCAGATGATTTATGTCTACGGCGAAAGATCTCCTTTGACTCTCTTTCACACACCACTCTTCTGCAGTTGTCACTTCTAAGGCAGAAAGTTCAGTGCGAGTCCAGTCAGGCTTTTTAGTCTTGAAGTTGTCTATCGCTCTAAAAAACCAAGCAGTGCTGCGTACAAAACGCCAATACTTGGAGAACCTTTTGACGTCCGGTAATTCTATGACAGGATTAGCAGCGGTAAATAAAACAGCTTTTACCTCTTTGTCATCGGCATCAATGAAGTCCGTATCAAAGTCTCTGCCGACATCGTCAGGCCACTGTTCGTCAGGCATTGTCAAGAAGGTCGGGCCTTGAATCCATTTTTCACTGTGGACCGTGGTCGAATCTCTTGTGGCGCTGTCAGCTGCATTAAGATGCGAAGGGACCCACCTCCACTGAGTCACTTCGGTCAGGTCGGTGACTTCGCTGACTCGGTGTGCGACAAAAGGCTTGAACCTTCCCGAATCTGAGTTGAGCCAGCTCAAAACAGTCTTGGAGTCCGACCACAGCGTTAGCTTAGAAAGGGGAACCATCTCACATTGTCGTAGGTGTTGAGACATTCGCGCCCCCATGACAGCAGCTTGTAGCTCCAGTCGTGGAATACTCATTACTTTCAGGGGGGCAACCCTAGCTCTCGCCATCAAAAAAGCGACATGCCAGGTGCCATCCTTCTTACGCGAGCGGAGGTAAGCGACACTAGCGAAGGCTCTGGAACTAGCATCACAGAATATGTGCAATTCAGCCAGGTTGTCAAAATCTTCTGTCAATATCCACCTGGGAATCGTAATATTGGCAGCCGAGTTGAGTTCCGATAACCATGTCTGCCACGCTGCGTAGTGACTTACCTCAACTTCGTCGTCCCATCCTATCTTGCTGCGCCAAATATCCTGAAACAGTATACGCGCTTGGATAATCACGTGCAGTAGAAAGCCTAAAGGGTCAAACACAGACATGACCACCTTCAAAACATCCCTCTTAGTAGGCCACCACTTGAACCGTCGTCGTCGTGACGGTTAAGAAAAAGTCAGGGCTTCGTCGGACTGGTTTATTGTCTTAAAACCAATATATAAAACTTTACAATTTCATGAGAAAATTACCGTCCATTGTTCGTCGTCTGTCAAAAGTCAAGTCCAGAAAAACGTCGTCCCATTTATCGTCAGCCAGTCCTAGTCTATGTCTTTGACCATGCAGGCTGGACGCCGCGACAATTTGTAAGAACTATTTATTAGTCTAAACAAATAAAGAAATTTTGACTTTTTTTTTACTTTTTTACTACTTTAGCCTAGAATTAAGAAAGTACCTACTTGTGTATTTGTTAGAAAAATAATGATGCTTAGCTCAAATAGTAAGCGTTCCTATAGAGCTCGTCTACTTAAATACTACGTCTACTTGTATTCACTGTAATTCACCACAACTCTATAGCTATAGCGCGACGATAAAACGCAGAGCTTTGAAACGCCCTAGGAACTTGGAAAATCTTTATTTCTTTGATTTACATGAGACAAAGCAGACTTGCTAGTCCTTACTAAGTTGTGTAATTCAGCTCATTTATTAAAAGGCATTCAGCCTTAATAATATTTGAAACGCGTGAAGGACATTAATTATTTTTACGAGATTAGAATTGGGGTTTATTTAATTTCTAAGGTGACTTATTTAGACATGTTTCATGGTTAATTACTTCTTGCATGTTGTTTCTACTTAGCTTTTATGATTTATGAACTAAAGATAATTTCATGAAAGTACACTTTGCGTATTCGTAATTTCGTATACAGCGTTGATTTATGTCCCGTTTCCTGATTTTACGGTTAGGTAATAGGTAAAGGTTTATAGAGATTTAGATGTAATTTGTTGTTTTATTTAGTTACAGATTGACTTGTTATTTTATCAGTAGAATGATTTTAAACCACCGACGCTAATAAATAAGGTGGCGGTCATTATTCTTAATTAATCTCGATTTAAATTGCAAAAACTTTTAACTGCTTATGACAATGTTCCTCAAATTCCAGTGTCCGTGTGTAGCATTTTTTCGGCCGCGTCCGCGACTCGCATGTCGATGTGTAGCCGTCGATAAGTCTTTACGGCCGTGTGTCACGCGACCTGATATCTTATTTGTCTGCTGCTGATCTATTTATAATAGCTGTTTAGGCTCTCTGACAGGGTTAGAAAGTAGTTTTTTAATTCATTTGAAGTTGTAATTAAATTTACATACTGCTAATCAATTTAGCAAGCTGTTCCGCTGTGTGGTTCCTTTTTTTCGTCCATAGTTATCTACTGAGAAACAACAAGTGGAAATCTTTAACATTCGGTTAAGACTGAAGGAAGTTTTGCTCATATCATCAAATTAATAAACAATACACTTAAAAGTACGCATATTAGTTCTTTTTAAGCATTTATTACATGTAGGTATAGTATAATGTAGAGACGACTGTAAATGGAGAGAGAGCTCTGGAATCTCACTATATCCGCCCCTAAGGTTATTTTACCAGAATCATAAAATAAATAAACATCAGTTAGTATTTATGTACTTTTATAACGAGGCACATGTTATCCGGGAAATTTGAATAATATCATGCAAAAAGGGTGCCGTCAATTTGCGGAATTCCTTCCCGCAACCGTTGGATTCCTACCCCTCGAATTGCGTACTTCAGTTCTTAATCTTTCCGCCGACTGTCCAAATTGGCGGACAATCACGAACCGACCAAAAGCGTTTATTGTTTGGTCAGTAAGGCTTGATTTGCTGCGACCACTTTTTGGCATTTCGTTGTTGCTGTACAAAAACCCCCATAACCGTTTTCTCGGTCTATTTAGGCCTTCGAGACCCCGCACACATTTTACTTCTTTACTGAACTGTGCATTTTTAAGTATTTTTTCCATCGAGGAAAAATGTCTTATATTTTTGTCGCTAGTTTCAATAAGTACCTACTAAAATTCTCATAAACATGTGCAATGCAATTTACCTAATCTTAATTTTGATTAGGTAAATTGCATTGCACAATCTAACAACAGCCTAACCATTTTATGTAAGCTTCATTCACTTCACGTGTAGCAGTAGAAGGCAAGACATACTCGTACCTACTCTCTAATCTGTGGTAGAGACCCCTTTTACTTTAACCAGAAGCAGGCAGCTTGTATTGGACTACATTTTCCAAAGTTGATTGCAACCTCAATCAGTTCAAATAAAAATATCTTTTCCAAAGTGTGCGGCTCTTATCGGAGTTAACCCCGCCGCTTGATTTATGCCGGACAGCGGGGTCGCCGGCCGGAGTAACGAGCCCCGGGGGTTGAAGGGTTCAGTTTTTGGGTTAGCCAGTAACCTGCATTGCTCTTTCCTTTTAGTTTTTAGCATCTTTGAAATTAAGCTTCGCGTGCCCAGACATAATATTAAATAGCATTTAACAATAATATCATCTTCGTATCGTACTGTTTATCTGGTTCATTTTTACGATTGTGATCCAGAATTTGTTAATTCCTAAAACCATAAATGAGGTCTTAATTGAAAGGAAAAGAGACTGGCAATTGTAGATGTCAGATCTTGATATCATCTTTCTGTATGGAATAGGCACAGTCAGCCTGTATCTAATATTTCTCCTGCTGGCGGTGGGATGTTCGATGTAATTTCCGAGGGTAGCTCTCCTGGCGATGTGCTTCCATTTCCGACGGTTAGAGGCGTCACGTCGCGAGTAGTGAGTACACTGGACATGGTGGACTCAGTGGCCGTTTTCTCCTAATATTGATTGATAAACGCTTGATAATTGCATGCGCCATGTGCTTTTCAACTGTACAAAGTAGCGTGAAGTACTCTTTAACCCCTTCACGCTCTTCGCTGGCGCGAAGCCACCCCTGCCGATGCTATCTCTTTCCGCCCGGATATTAGCGCGCGTGCGCAAGTGTTCGCGATCGCCGGCGCAGCTTGATTTACGTGCTTGATCCTAAATTATAGTTTTTTGGCACAATAAGCGGTAAAATGCAACGGATAAAGGTGTCTGATAAAGAATTTGATACAGCTTTCGATTGGCGGCAGCTGGCAAATGATATACAACTTTGTAAAGCTCCGAGAAACCATTGATATTACGAGGATTTTTTGCAAAAAATCGTGATATTGTAACGGAAGTCTTTCTATAGCTGCGTAACTTTTCCACTTACCTTGCGTATCGAGTTTCGATTAGCCTTCCCGATAGTCAGTTTCAGGGAATCAAAAGTGCTGCTAAAAGTACCTACTTGATATCGACAGGAGATTTGGTGTAACGCGTAAGTACCTACATGTGTACATCTGCATCAGTAGTAGAGTCATCAGTGTGTCCTTACCACGTCACAAGCGGAGAAGCTTCAGCGGCCGTCCTTTCAGAAGTACATCAGGTCCACGAGCAGCTCCTGGCACGCGGCGCACACGAAGCAGCCGGGGTGTCAGCGCGCCGCTGGCCGACATAGACTACTCATATTATAGGCATGGGTAGAGTCATAAATGTCCTTACCTCATCACAAGCGGAGCAGCGCGGCTTCAGCGTCTCGGCGTGGTGGCGGCCGCAGTACAGGCGGCCGTCCTTCCAGAAGTACACCAGGTCGACCAGCAGCTCCTGGCACGCGGCGCACACGAAGCAGTCGGGGTGCCAGCGCGGGCTGACATAGACTACTCATAGTATAGGCACAGGTAGAGTCGTAAATGTCCTTACCTCATCACAAGCGGAGCAGCGCGGCTTCAGCGTCTCGGCGTGGTGGCGGCCGCAGTACAGGCGGCCGTCCTTCCAGAAGTACACCAGGTCGACCAGCAGCTCCTGGCACGCGGCACACACGAAGCAGCCGGGGTGCCATCGCGCTGCAGCACCCGCGCGTGCCGCCGACACGCACATGTCGCCCGCCGACATCGACTCCTCACACTGGGGACGAAAGGGTTAACTTAGTTTCTCGTTGGTAACAATATGGAAGACTATTTGAGTGATTAATAGTTTTATTAATAGCTGCATGAAACAAAGTAAAAAGGGCCTGAAGTTTTCCAAAAATGCAGCCAATTTTGGATAACTTAACCATTCATCAAAATAATTTCATCAGAAGAAAAAGTTGTAAAGCTGGTAACTAATGAGAGTAGGTCGTCATATTGCCCTTTTTCAGTGACTTTGTAAAAGGATGATTTTTATTAATGAACCAGTTAATTTATTCTAGAATCCTAGTGGTTTTGTGACTGTGGAACATGGAACTCATTAAACACAAAAAGTTTCATATTTCGTATGTATTTATTCCCTTCATACTGTAACGGTTATCTATAATTTGTTGATGATTTATTGGTATCGAGTCAGACACGCACGTCTGAGAGCCACCGGCATCGATCAGCATTAAACAAATTATACTTTAAATCAATTTCCCTACTTGGCCCGGCAACTAATTCTATTCCTTTGGCTGTCTGACCTTGTGAGGTCGCGCCCTGAAGGTCGCCGATTGTTCCTAATAAGGACAAGGGTTTATTAAACGGTCCAGGTGGGTTTCCGACCTATTGACTGGTGGTTCATCAATCAAAGTTAATTACTCTATAGACTTCTGTCACAGTAGATAAATCAAACAGTACGGAAGCTTCATACAAACGCTCGAAATCAGACTCACGCACACAGACGCACGCTTTACACGAGCTCTAAGCGAACCTCGCAGTCCATCCGTCGCGAGTGTCGCGCGCGTTGTGTTTTTAATAATAATTTTATTGCATGCACCACAGTAGATATATGAGCTAAAGCAGTACGGAAGCTTAGCCCNAGTAGGCCTTTTCACACCTGTCCTAAGCTCTTCAGTAACATTGAGAAGGTTCAACTTGAAGACGAAGTTGTCATCCTCGGGCAGCCATCTGACACCTAGAACTCTCTCTACTAACTCGTCCTTACTGTCTGTAATGACTTTAACTGCTGACGCAGAAAGTCTGTCTTGAGGGATATGCTTCAAAAGAGTTGTCGAGTTTGATACAAAGTTTCGTATGTGAAAACCTCCTGCAGCGTGAATCTCGATGACGTCATTCACTAGCTTTATCAACTCGCCCTCGTCGTTCAGTGAGTAGATGAAATCGTCAACGTAGTGATGATCGATGATGGCACGGCAGGCGTGAGGATGTGTCAGTTCATATCTACGTGCATTCAGGTTCTTGACAAACTGTGACGATGAAGGAGAACACACGGCGCCAAAGGTCATGACATTCATAATGTACTCTCCGTCCTCCCACAATAGACGTTGTGCTTGTCTGTCCTCAGGTCGTATCATAACTCGATGAAACATCTCTTGGATGTCGCCAGTGACCGCCACCTTGCCTTTTCGAAACCCTAAAAGCACACTCGGTAGTGAAGTCAGAAGGTCCGGTCCAGTCAAAAGAAAGTCATTCAATGACTTCCCTTCTGACTTCGCTGCACAGTCGAAAACGAGGCGCAACTTAGGTTTGTTTGGGTTGTCGACAGCAAAGTGAGGGAGCCACCAGCTTTTGTCAGTCCGCTTCGAAACCTCGTCGGGGTCTATTTTGGACACATAGCCCTTGTTCACATTGTCGATAAATCTGTCTCGGTATTTATCCGCAAAGTCATCGGACTTACGCATTTTGATCTGGATATTTCTAAAACGTTTCCTCGCTTGCGGTAGACTGTCAGGAAGCACGGGGTCGTCGGTCCTCCATAACAGCCCCGTCTCGTACCGGCCCTCAGGAAGCAGCCGCGTCGTGCGCTCCATTATTTCCAGCGCCAGCTGATCCTCCTCCTTGGTAGCGTGCATAGTTGCAACGACGTTCTGTACTATGGTAGCGAACTCGATGAGGTGATTTATGTCATCATGACGTATGAATTTGGTTTGATTTATTTTTGTCAACATGTTCTCTATGATGTATTCTGGTCTACCAAATCGAATTTTCAGTGTCTTAATAATTTTGTCCAAATTAGTAGCGCTAATGAGTAAAGCGGACACCGACTCGCGTGCACTCCCCTTCAAACACCTTGAAAGTCTGGCAATATTTTCATCATCCGAGTAGTCGCAGAGTCGGGTGGTCGAAATGAACTTACTGTAAAACAGTGGCCATTCTTCTGGGTCGCCTGAGAACTGTGGCAGCTCCGTGGAGCATGTCTGTCTTGCCAACAGCTTAGTCATTTTCTCCTCTAGGCGACTTGTATGAAAGGTAGAATGATGTGGCATAACTGGCGTGGGTGAATGATGACGCTCGACGTGATTAGAATCGGTATGAAAAGTCTGGGTACCTCTGGTTCTTGTTGCCGTCAAAGAAGTGCGTGACTGGGCACGAGATAGATTGCACGCGAGGTACTCTTCGTCTTGCAGCGCCTGCCTCTGTATAGCTAGCTTTTCCTCCAGCAAGCGATTGGCGATAGCGGCTCGTTCCTCCGCGGCTTCAAGCTCTATCTGTAGTAGTCGTTGTCGTCTCACAGTCGACGCAGTGCTCGTGGTAGAGCGGGCGGACGGGCTCGGCGAAGGCGGGCGGCTGTTCCGAATGGACTGTCTGTCGTCGTGCCCATCCTTGTCTGGAACGGCTGCCGTCGTAGTCATAGCCGCGGCCCTTGACCTACTGCGTGTTTCCATATCTTGATTCTGTTTATGCTCGAAGGACCACTTGAACCGTCGTCGTCGTGACGGTTAAGAAAAAGTCAGGGCTTCGTCGGACTGGTTTATTGTCTTAAAACCAATATATAAAACTTTACAATTTCATGAGAAAATTACCGTCGATTGTTCGTCCTCTGTCAAAAAGTCAAGTCCAGAAAAAACGTCGTCCCGTTTATCGTCAGCCAGTCCTAGTCTATGTCTTTGACCATGCAGGCTGGACGCCGCGACACTTACCTTAGAGAAATTGCAATAAAAATCATCGTTTTCATGAATAGTGTTCAACCCGACGTATATTTTTTCAATAAGCAGTTGTAGTATTGTTCTCTAGAGTTAATAATAGCTCATACTTTTAAACTTTTAATGAATGAAGATCGCTCTCGTTATGCTAATTAAGTATGTCAAAGTTTCCCAAGATAAACGGAAGGCGTGTGGAGTTGTATCCTGCATTCAATTACTGCTATGAGGGCGACATTCAACTTTGTTGTGTACAAAGTCAAAGTACTTTGGAATCTTTTAAAAGTAATTCGAGTGCTATTATAAATAATAATGACTGGTCATGCTGATTCACAGGTTACATTTGCTGATTTATTGTGTCTTTTTTTTAAAGATTATTAGTAACGTAAGTATCGGGAAAATTAGTAATTTTCAGTGCAATACAAATTACTAATTTTCCTGTTAGCCCCTCGTGGTAATTGAGCCTTTAAAGCATTGAGCATAAAGTATTGAGAAAAAGGATGCAATCCATTTTCAATTTGCATAATTCCAACCCACCATATAATATTACCAAACCAACTTAAGCATAGATTCTGTGTGATGTCCTGTCCTTGAGCTTTTATTTTATTTTATTTATTTGGAAAACAAAACAGATTACATTATTTACATGGTTTCTTTTGAAATTGTACCAATCAAAAGCCTAAATCTTTGCTAACTTGTATTAAATAGTGCAGTACTTCATTTTGTTGCATATTTATGTTTCATGTAGCAAAAGATGACTAAAATAATTGTTGCTATATTGAAAGCATTTAATGCAGGTAAAAGTAATTTTTCGTCATCAAACTAAAAGCTCCAAAATAAGCACACCGCTATAACAACTCCGTCATTCGCTATAAACATTTACATAAACTGTTACAATTTTCGACGTTTTAAAACTGAGATGTAAAACATTTTTTATGCTTGTTTTACTAGAGTTTTTGCGTAGGTTTTTGTTTTAAATAATGTTACGCCTACAATGGGAGAGTTATAATACGCTTGAGTGGACTTAATACAATCGAGTGTCATTTGTTTTAACAATGCATCCCAAAGAAGGAACTTTATTGACTATAGAATGCATGTAATTTAACTGCTCAGTTTACTCTTGTTTTTTTTCCTTCCATTATTATGTGCCCCTGTCATGTCTATGTAATTGCCTGTATTTGTGTGATGTCCATTGTAATAAATGAATCTTTCTTTCTTTTTTCTTTCTTTATTTTGCTGCAAGCGATAAAGTGTAATTAGAGCAGAACAAAGAGTAGCAATAAGGTAGTAATTATCGAATTCCGTGGACATAAGATGCAAGTTTCGTAAATCAGGGGTAAATTTATTGGTTTCAGTGAGCAGTTCAGCGACATTACTTACCTGAAATTATGCATATTTTATGTTAAAGTTAAATTAAAAGTTTTTCTTCAGTAACTTCAGTACTTAAGCCCGGAAATCGCAGCGTGGGACGTCCACCAACAAGGTGGACCGACGACATCATAAAGGTAGCAGGAAAGCGCTGGACGCAGGCCGCTACCAATCGATCAACATGGAAATCATTGGGGGAGGCTTATGTTCAGCAGTAGACGTCCTATGGCTGAAATGATGATGATGATGACTGAAGCCCTTTTTCAGGGCGCTTATGTATGTCCTAAATATAGCTTGCCCTACCACCACTTCGGGACAACATATTTATTATGAGCTGGTGCTGAAACGAAATGGCGGAAGAAACTCAATCACCTTTGTCAGTCTCTTTTAACTGTTTACATATCATATTCGTCTATTACTACTTAACATTTATGCTATGCGTAGTCTTCTGAATCGCTTAGCCTTTGGAAGACAGCAAGAGTTACTATGAACGTGACCTAAAGGCGGATTTATATTTATCAGACGTGATGTGTCGTGACGCATCAGAATGGGATCGGCATGCATTTAGTACGTATACGGGACTATTCCCACCTCTCGTTCCCACCACTGTAACTCCTGTGTAGCCAGGATCTACAGCTTGACCGCCACAAAAACCCAACCAATGAAGGTCAAGTTTGTCCCGGGAGAAAGTTAAACTGTTATTGGATCCGCAACGAAATTAGTCAGA